TGATAGTGTTACATTGAAAATGTGGTCGCCGGAATATGTGTTTGGTAATGTATGTCTTATATTTAAGAAAAAATCAACAAATAACCGAAAACACCGAAAAACCAACATAAACCGAATCGAGAAAACCGACTTAATTGGTTTGGTTTGGTTCTAATATTTGAAAAACCGACTTACTTGGTTTGGTTTCTTTTTAGAAAAAAACCGATCCAAACCGACCCATGAACACCCTACTTGCAGTATTACATGTTAAAGAATTTATTACTCTCTTTTTCAGTGCTTTTCTACCTTTTCCTGGCCATAGGCCAAAAGAAAAGAAGTGTAAAAATTTAAATTGCTATTTATAGCAAAACGTTACAGGCTTACAGCTGTGCACATATATATATATATTATATTCCTCATCAAGAGTATACAATCGAGGCTAGCTATTCCTAATGAGCTAAGTACTGGAAATGCTGTCATTATAGTGAGATCAGTTATTGAAGTTTTGAAGCGAAATATAAATAAGCACAAAAAGAAGTGTTTTTTTTTTTTTCACACATTAAAAAGATCAAATAATTCATGTTACATGTTATGCTTAGAACAAGAGGAGATAAGCAGAAGACCAAAAACACTCTCTATATATATATATGCTAGCCACATGCACGGCCGGCAATCCAAACTTTTTGTGTCGCTCGTCACTACAGTAATGTATCTTTCAAGCTTACCGTATAGGTAAAGGCTGATATACAGCCATACATATAATCGACAACAAAAAGTTGTCGCATTTCATCATTCTTAGGATTGTATACAGCAAGTTTAATTTTATGATCGTCTATTAGCAAAGCAACTTCTCCATTGTGTGCGGCGGTAATTAATGGGCAATACTGCAAACTCGCCATAAGGACCAAATGATTCTTTTATTCCATATTCCTTCATGACCAATATCTCAATGCCGTAATTATAATCATAAATAAAACCACGACTCATGCAAAGACAATCATCTAAAACTCCTAAACCACCTATTTCACAATCAAATTCTTCATGCTTAGGCGGCTCGGGAATTGGAAACATATCGAAATTTTCAGAGATGGGATCAAAAGAAATAACTCTATAAGTATTTTCATATTTATCCTACAGTGAAGTCGTCCATGAAATGTAATCCCATCTTTCACTGAGCGGAGATCATGGTAAGGCAAATCGACTCTCCTCCACGTTTTGTCGTCCTCCTTAAGACTAGCAACCATAACAAAATTATCCAAAGTAAACATCACAGCCTTGTAAATATTTTTGGAGAAGTCAAAACAAAGCCCGCCTCGTGGAAAATAATATTGTATATCGAAATTGTAGTTAATCACTATTTTAGTGCATGATCGAGTCGTCGGATTCCACAAGAAACACATATCCTCATTCACGCGTATTAATAAGAGACCATCACAAGAACCCAAAATCCTACTATGATAATAATCAAAAATGATATTCTCATCCAAAGGGCTGCTGAGTTTTTCTTCATTGAGTTGTTAGTTTATGTAGTGAAAGGTGGGTCCAGGAAGCCCGCCGGGCTGCACAATTACGAAGGTTCGACTTTCTCGTCATTGTTGATCCAAGAACTGGAAGTTTGGACTTGAAATCCAACAACGCCATGGCTTAGAAACACACTTGAATCGTAAGAGAGATTTCACCGGTAATTTTGAGAGAATAAGGCTAGTGATGTCGTCGGGTACATCTGCCATATTACAATGTTATACGAAAATAGAATAAAAAATGGTGAGTCTCCTATGGAGTTTTGGACGGAGAAAGAAAGGAGGACAAGGTGGCTAGGGTTTTCTTTTGTTATGCGAAAGTGCAAATACATACCCTGTTATGTGTTTTTGGTCCATTTCAAAAAGAATCAACCCTTTCTAAATTTGGTAACTATTTAGCTTAAAGTTACAATTTCACCATTAATGAGAAGCTTTTATAACCATACAAATACTCTGGGTCCCTTTTTGACTTGTTTAGGACCACAAATTTCATAAGTCTTCATTTTTTCTTAAACTCCGTGCCCAGTCAAACAGGTTCACATAAATTGGAACGGATGGAGTATTTGTTTTGGAAGGACGAATGGAAAATGGGTCCAGATTTTACTTTTGGGCCTTCTTGGTGAAGCTATCCTTATGGGTCTACTTAGCTAATTATATTAGAAGAGAAATTTTCATAAAGCACTATTTTTTAATAGTAATTACTAGTAATTAGTTATCTATAGATAACATTTGCTATATTGCGGATTATAGATATCTTTATGTGGTTATAAGGTATATTTGATGTATTTAAGCTATTGTATTCACGAATACAGTAGCAAAAATAGGCGTGAATCAGGGAAGTCCAGCTAATCAGTTGTTGTATTCGAGTGTATTCGACTGTAATCATGGAGTGAAACATGGGATTACAGCTGGACAAATTATTGTATTCGACTGTATTTACGGCGTGAAATAGGGGATTACACTGTTTTTAAAACGGAAAATGAATCAATTAACATAATAGACTCCTAATATAACTCAATAAACTCAATTATAACACACAAAATTTGTATTTTCAGTTATAAAAAAGATTCTCAACCAAAAATTACCCCAAAAACATAGCAATCTTCAGAGAAATTATATAATACATCTGAATATATAAATTATATTAATTAAAAAAACTTATGAATACATTTATGGCATATAGCGAGACAGTGAATACGATGAAATACACAGAATACAACGGGATACATTGAAATACAATGGGAAAAAAAAGACAGAGAATACAATAAAATACATGAAATACAGCGAGATACATTGAATTACAATGAAAAAAAAGACAATGAATACAATGAAAACCATGAATATACAGCATAATACGTTGAAATTACATTGAAATATATTAAAAGAAATGTTCTTCTTCATCGCGAAAGAAAGAAATCGTCACTCAGTAGATCTCCGAAAACGAATCCTCTTCCCACGACCGCCGCCATCTCCTCCTTGGACTTAACGTCGAGTGACGGCCCAGTTTCCACCGCAACCAGCAATTCAAAGTTGCAACTCTCTAGCTCTGCGTCGAGCGTCGTTGCCTCATATTCCAAGTCCTCTACTGCAGTTCAATTCCAGAAGAAGACAAAGCAAAAAGAAAGAAAAAAAAAGGGAGGATCATCACGCTGGTGTAAAGGGAGGTGAAAGTGGGAAGGGATAGAAAGAAAATCGGTGGAAGGAGGGGGAGAACGGAAATTTTAATGGGATGGGGGAAGATAATGAGATGTATCAAAGTAGAGAGAGAAAGAAAATAGTGTAACTGATTAGCGTATTTAGTGGCTTAGGGCTAGGAGGTAACCAAAATTAAATATTTTGCTATAAACCTTAAAAGGTATCTATAGAATATAATTTTTTTAAATGGTATTTATTTAAAATAAATAATGTGTTAACTTTGCTATAGGAGGTAAAAATTCCTATGTAAAAATGAGATCAGGTAACCACTCTAACGGGCTGCTATTTAAGAATTAACCAGTGCGCTCTGAATTGTCTGAAGTTAAGATTTTTAGTTTAAATTTCTAAATAAAAATAAGTATTGGCTAACTCTAAAAAGATTCATTGTTCTTGTATATAGACGTAGGTATGTATTGCGATGAATACATTGAAGGAAAAGATCAATTCGTTCTCTGATTTTGTCATGTAATGTATGTTTAGGAGCATGTTTAGGTTTAGCAATAGATCAAATCTTATAATAATAGATGAAATTAATTGATAAGTACTAACCATTTATTGTTAGTATGTACATTTAGGCTATGATTGTCGTCCAGCAGGACCCTCAAATCCACATATAACATGTGTCTTAACCTTCCGGAGGTGTTCTACCAACAAACATCTCTGCACTTCATTAAACTTTTCTAAACATCTCTGCACTTCATTAAACTTTTCGCACTTCATTAAACTTTTCTATTTTGTCTACCGTAAAAATTATCTTCAACTTTTGCGCAGTCTTGCTTTCTGTTGATGGTAGATTTGTATGACTAACAGTTATTTTCTTTCATCGTTGATCACCTTACTATCTTGTTGTTTTTATTTTGCTTTTGTATGACTTTTTGGTACTGTCCCTTCTTGTCTATATTTTCATTAATGTAGTGCTTATGATTTCTTGAGCCGAGGGTCTATTAGAAACAACCTCTCTATCCTCATAAGTAGGGGTGTTCATGGACCGGGTTGGTTCGGTTTTTATCAAAACCAAACCAAACCAACTATATCGGTTTAGATTGGTTTGGTTTTGTCGGGTTTTCGGATTTTTTGTTACTTACATATTATTTCAATCTTACTTTGTTAAATATTTGATACGTATACATCTATTTAGTAAAAATATAAAAAGTTGACAAACATATTATCAATTAAAATATTCTTATGCGAGAATTCCATTAGTTAACACATAATAATTATTTTTTTAGTTGTCTGACAATAATTTTTCGTTGATACACACTTTCAGGTTATCCGAATTTAGTAATTAAACATAAAAATCAATATGATACCTAAATATTAATAACCACTTCACATTCGAAAAAGATATAAGAATTTAATACACCTTAACATATGATATGAATATGTAAGAACAAAGAGATACACGTATTTTAGTAACACTTAATAAGAAACTGATCATACAACCCATTATTTAAGGTCAATAAATATGGAGCACTTCATATTCTATTAAAATTTATATCCCGCAAGAGAATCCCAAATATTTCTAGACATTTTTTAAAGAAAATTTTATATAAAATCTTAAATAATATATATAAAAATTATATATTTATATGTCGAATTGGTTCGAGTTTTTTTTATTCAATACCAAACCAAATCAAACCAAACCGAGTCGGGTTTTTTAATCGGTTTGGTTTGACTTTTCGGTTTGGTGCGATTTTTCGGTTCGGTTTGTACACCCCTACTCACAAGGTAGGGGTAAGATCTGCGTACACACTACCCTCCCAAGACCCCGCGGTGTCTGATAATACTGGATATGTTGTTGTTGTCTACTAAAAATTACCTTCAACTTTCACTCCTTATGAATCCACAGTTTTACCAAGTATCAAGAAAAAAAAAGGGTGAAAAGGATGCAATATTACAAGTTAAATAATGCGCAACTCTTTTCTTCGTCCTGTTCTCTCTTTTTCTGGCAAAGGCCAAAAGAAAAGAGTGTCAAAATGAGGTCTGTATCTACAACAGAATGTAACAACAGCAGCAGTAGGAAGAGCAGAGTAATTCTAAATCTAGAAGTCAATAATTGGTTCACCAATAGTAAGATTCCTCTGGACAGTCCAAGGCAAGTTAAAGAGTTTTGCCATGATAAACTTGAAGATCTTATTCACATTGATGTTATGTGTTGCACTCGAAAAGAAGAGAGTTGCTTTCATTGCCTTTGCATATGCCCTTGCCTGCAGAAAAACCATTTCACCAATTCTCAACATGTAATCAGAATGAATATGATCTAATTATATCAGGGCGACCCTTCCATAAAGCAAATAAAGTAACTGCTTTAGACCCCACATTTGTAGATGCCCTGTTTTTTATTACACTTAATAGGCTATGTGTAAATTTAAAAAAAGATTTCGTAAAGTGAAAACGTTTAATTTCTTTCTCTAATAAATACAGAGAAGAAGGATTTGCAATTGCTATGATTTCTGCCAAGAAAATTGCACTTGAAATGAATATTGAACCCGAATTTTGTAAGAAACATGTGATATTTAGGAAGTAATAACAATTTGATAAGAATGTTGATAATGAAATCTCAAAATCTTTCGAAAAGTCCTTTGGAGTTGATTACTTTTAAACATAATAGACAATGCTATTTTTTCACTTCAAAAATAGATTTGAACAATTCGAAGCATATGAAAATATTTTCGATTTTCTATTTAGCGGTTAAAATTAAGATCACTAGATGATTGTCTTAATCTTGAATGTTTTTTAAACATAATAATCAATTCGATATTGATGGTTTGGATTATTTTTCGAATTAAAGGTATGAAGGAAAATACTACAATTAGAAATTAAGAGTTTAATTGATACACTCAGTCAAATAAAAAGATTTGATTCTTTTTCCAAATGTCTTTATTGCTTAAGGAATTATGTTAATAACTCTTGTTATCGTCGCTTCAGCGGAAATAAATTTTTAAAATTAAAATTGATAAAATCTTACTTAAGATTAATAATGTCTCAAGAAAGGATAAATTGATTTTCAATTAAGAAAGACTTATTAGGAGTTATTGATTATAAAAAAAATTATTAATAACTTTGTATCTAAGAAAAGCTAGAAAAATAAACTTCAAATAAATAATTAATTTTTTGTTAAAAAAAAAGAAGTTAAGGCCCCTCATAAAGTTTGGCTTTAGGCCACAAAACTCGTTGGGGCGCCTTTGAATTATATATATTTATATATAGTTCGAGTTGCTGGTTATTTTGAACGCGTTCTAAACTCCTGATTCATAAATACTATCCTACTAGCATTTGTTTTCTTGGGTTTGTTGGGTTCGGGGAGTGGGGTTGGACCTTATGGTTGCGCCATGGAGCTGGATGACTATTATAGCCTGTTTGGCCAAGCTTTTTTTTGGGCCAAAAGTGCTTTTTTTGGCCAAAAGCACTTTTGGCCAAAATTTGAGGTGTTTGGCCAAGCTTTTGGAGGGAAAAAAGTGCTTTTGAGGAGAAGCAGAAGCAGTTTTGGAGAAGAAAAAAAAAGTAGCTTCTCTCCAAAAGCACTTTTGAGAAAAAACCACTTAGAATCAGTTTTCAAAAGCTTGGCTAAACACTAATTACTGCTCAAAAGTACTTTTCTAATTAATTAGCCAAACACAAACTACTTCTCACCAAAAGCACTTTTTTTAAAAGTACTTTTAAGAAAATCACTCACAAAATAAGTTGATTTTAGAAGCTTGGCCAAACGGGCTATTACTCTCCTCACTTATAAGTTTTATAACTATAAGCCTAAAACCAAAAAGCAAGGAAATTCTGTTGATAATGTGAATGCTATCACATTCTTTTCAGTTTATGACGCCAACGCGAAAAGAAACTAGCATACAAACAAAGAGGAAAAGTGTACAAACACGAAGATATTTTATCATGGTAATTCGGAAGAAGAAAAAACTACCCCTGTTTACACGAAATCCACTAGTTTACTATATATGGTTAAATAATAAATTGAGGTGGTTATAGATTAAATAATCTTGACTAGTGATAAAGGTGCATCGTGTCATGCGTTTGTTAGTTTGATATAAACATCACTATGTAAGTGTTTTCTGTAATACACATTCAATTATAAAGCTTTAAATTCATCAGGTAATGATACATATATATAGATTCCAGTAACTTTAATGATTTAGAAGAAAGATGATTAATCAATTTAGTGCTATAATGATCAGAATTGTACCTGTGTCACCACACTCCACTGAATGTCTGGTGGAAGCTGGACAAAATCATCAAATTTGGTCCCAATTAGTATGGGAATAGCAGTCTGTAGTTGTCAATAGTAGAAGAAAAATATTAGACTTCTAGAACCAAAAAAATTAGCTTAGCTAACAGGGTTTTTAAGTCTACAAATAATGCATATTTGAACACTAATGTTCCATCCAGAAGAGCAGTGGTAATCTTTACTATTCCCCGGGTCCACTTTAATTGATTTATTGACCCTTTTTTTTTTTTATGATCCACAGTATTTGTTTTTTTCAAATATCAAGAATTTTTTTTTTCTTTTTCAAAATTGCCTTTGGAGTAAAGAGTCTTGGAGTATCTGTTATATTTCCAATGAACAAATTAAAGAAAGGAATAGTAAAGGTTAACATGGTCAATTTTATTGTTAATTAATGTTAAAAGTTGAATTCTTTAATATGTGTGAAAACAGTCAAAAAGTCAATTAAAGTGAACCAGAAAAAGTAGTAATAGTCTAATACATATTAAGTGGGCATTTGGGACATAAGATCTGTAAATTTTTAAAAATAGGGTGAAAAAAATTTTCAAGTGAAAATGGTATTTGAAATTTAGAGTTGTGTTTGAACATGAATATAATTTTGGGTTGTTTTTGAAGTTTTGTGAGTGATTTGAGTAAAAATTTTGAAAAGCAGTTTTTTGGAGTTTTTCAAATTTTCGAAAATTTCCAAAATGCATCTTCAAGTGAAAATTGAAAATTTTATGAACAAACGCCAATTTCGGAAAAAGTGAAAATTTTTTGGAAAAAAAGAAAAAATTTCTTATGTCCAAACGGGCTCTAAATCAGAATTTCACTGGTAAAGAACAACTGAACTAAGTGGTCATTTCATCATAATTGTTGTTTAATTCATTCTCAATAATTCTTCTTGAAAGTTAAAGCCAATCAAGTTTTGGTAATCAGTAATAACCATTTAAGGTGGGCATTAAGCTTCAATTATTCAAATCAAATGAGCCAACTGATTAAGTTATCATCTTCAAAAACAAAAAGTTACAAACTAAAGTACTCAATTCCTTTAATTAGCTTTTACTTCAATGTATCAATAAAGTCCCAACCACTGTAGTACTTTTTTGTTTGGTGAAAAGAAAAGGAATATTTGTTACTGGCTAGTGAAAGTTTCATCTTACTTTTGCTAGATTTGTTAATAAGTAAATTTAATTCTTGGTTCTAAAGTTTAGTCCTTTTCAAGAAAAGGACATTAATTTGAAACATAAGCCAAGTTTCGCACCTGATTCCACTTTCTTGCTTCACTATACCAACCTATCACACTGCAATTTCAAAAAAGAAAAAGAAAAGTTTTTAATAACGGAGTTTAACTTCTGTACACTAACAACAACGTAATTAAGCTATCATATTAAAATGACCTACTTGTTCAATGTACTCCGGCTAGTGAGATCAAACATAAAGAGAATGGCGACAGCATCTTTACAAGCAATTGGAATCTGATCAAGTGAGCTATGATCACCTACACCCAAGTTTGAAAATTCAAAACACAATTCATTCAAGCTACAGTTACCACCTTAAAGAAAAAAGGGCAGCCCGGTTCCGTAAAAGGGCCGGACCACAAAGGTCTATCATACGCAATCTTAACGTGCATTCCTGCAAGAGGCTCTTTTCACGGCTTAGAAGTGTCAAAATAAGAAGTCAAAAATAGCTACTAGATTAAGTAATTAGAAATTAATGAACATACCTCCCACATCCCATATTCTAAATGCAATTCTTGCACCTCGTACAACTAAAGTTTTATCCATCAAATTCAATCCGTTCATATGCAAACATCTCTTTTCTTCTTCATCCCCTACATACTTAATCTGGAAAAAAAAGAAAATCCAAAAAAGTATAAGAAAAAGGTTGTTTCTTGGTTTAAGCATAAGAACAAACATAGAGTGACCGTAACACCATAGAGTTTAGACTTGTGGCCAGTAAAAAAAAGGTCCTAGGAGATCATCAGAATTCAAGTCTCACTAGAAAAAAAAAAATGTCACTCGCTGATTTTTTCTCTCTAACTGCCTAAGTTTCGATGGATAATATAATTCTATACTGGTAGAAGATAGCACATACTTGATGGAGTATTAGTTGAGATGAGCAGTAAACTGATCCGAACAATAAAAAAAAAATCCAACATAATTTTACAAGTGAGGTCGGGATAGAGTAATGTGCACGTAGAACTTACCCTATACCCTTGGGCCTCGGCTCAAAGAAAAATAAATAAAAAAGGCAATAGCACCATAACACCAGCAAAATAAAATGAAAACAGAATCGAAAGAAACAACATGCTTATCTGAACACTGTTAGCAAAAAGAGTAACAAAGTACAACATAGTAACCAACAAGGTTGTGGTGAAGTGGTAAGTACTCCTTCATCCTTAACCAGAGTCTCGAGTTCGAGCCCCCGGGTATGGAGTCGCCAATGTGTAACTTCCCAGCGCGAATCCGGATTTAATCGGGCCCCAATGTGAGTACCGGACACTGGCTGGGAAACAAAAAAAAAGTACAACATAGTAAGGCTAGAAAGAGATTAAGTTAAACTTACCACAAAACTTGTTTTACCAATGTGGCAATCACCCAAAATACTGATTTTCAAGGTAACTAAATCTGAATCACTATCATACCCACTACAAGTTGCAGTCAACGGATCATTTTCACCGTAGTACTCTTCACTTTCCTCCATTGACGGAGTTGCAGCTCTTCGAGACAAACGCCGGTACTTTCTTACCGGCTTCCGGCCAGTTGAGCAAATCAAAATTCTTTCCCAAATGAAACGAAAAAACTCTCTAAATATTGAAACTTTATCAAATATCTTCCACCTTATATTCACATGAACGATTTTCCGGCAGAGATTAGTCATCTTTCTGCTATTACTTCATGGATGTTTTCAGCCATATTGAGGAAATATACATAGGAGCTAATTTTGGTTTCCACATTTTGGTAGTCTTTTTCTTTTTGGATGTTCTGTTTGGAACAATTTTCTACTCTGTTCACGACGTACGACAGAAATTAAGAATGGGAAAATGTTGGGTTTTTTTGGTTTGTATTTTGAGTTAGGCGGTTGACCGGTTTATGTATGTCTTTTTGGAATCTCCGGGAAATAGTCAAACTTGCCGGCTTCTTGTTCTTGATTTTGATGTGTAATTACTTGGACTTGGGTATTTAGGTCAATTGAGTTAGGCACTACCTACCATATATAGATGTTTTGTAGGGGTAGTTTGGTCATTAAATTCAGTATATAAAATAAAATATATAATTTATATACACTGGCAATATACATTATCAATGTAATTATGTTTTAGCACATTACCAACTTCTTGTTTTATGTTACTTATTCTACAAATCAAGGATACATATATCAGGTGAATTGATAGTGTAAAAATTATTTTGTAACATTATCATAAAGAATTAAACTAAAAAAAAAAAAGTGGGAGAAAATAATGGTATAAAAAATGTTTTGCAATTTTGGCTTCTTTTAAACCAATAATACACTCGACTCTCGTGTCAATTATAAAAAGGGAAACACGTAATCTACATATTTATTAGGCCACAATTAATTTAAACGGCTTAATGCTAGGAGTTATAACTAATGAAGCATCTATGATAGTATTCTTTTTGGACCACTTTAAATGATTTTTTTAGTTCTTTCATACATATTAAAGAATTCACCTACTTAATTATAAAATTGACCATATTAACCTTAATTTGCTCATTGATAATATAACAAACTACTCCTAAGCTCTTTACTCTAAGGGCAACTTTAGAAAGAAGAAGTTAATTCCTTCTTGATATTTAAAAAAATCAAATATTATGAAACACAAAAAGGGCCAAGAATCACTTAAAGTGAATAGGAGGGAGTAGCTTTATACTCCCTTCGGTCCAAAATAAGTGATTTTTTGGTTGTTTTCACGCATATTAAGGAATTCACCTTTTAACATTAATTAGCAACGAATTGACTATATTAACCTTTACTATCTCTTCACATAAACACTCCTAACACATACTCCAACATTATTTACTCCAAGGACAATGTAGGAAAAAAATAATTAATTCATTCTTGAAATTTGAAAAAATCACTTATTTTGGATCACAAAAAAAGGCCAAAAAATCACTTATTGTGGACCGGAGAAAGTAGCTCATAGTTTTACCCCTTTATTATTTTAAATGGAGAAAATTTAGAAGATGAATGTTAAAGAAGATACCTGAGATCGGAGAGAGCAAAGAGGAAACAAGAAATGACAGAACACGGTACTAATGATGATGTTATGTTGTGCTTTTAATTTGGAAGTTAATGGAAATTATTTATTTCGTGAGCAAAGCTTGGAAAAGGAAAACATACTTGTGATGATCATCATTTTAAGCATAAGAAATAATGATGTCATGATAATTTTATCTGTTGCCTTGTATTAATGTTAGTATTATCTTAGGAAATCTTTTTTTAATGACAATAGTTTCATACTTTGCACGTACTATACTTGTTATCTTTCACTATTACAAGTATCAAGTAACTCTAGCGATCTAACGTATGTATGTTTACTTAAACAAATAAATGAATGAATTTATATATAATATAATACATATTGATAGAAAGAAAGAAATGAAACACAGTCAAGATTTGATTGGTGGATGCAGATCAAGGATATTTTAAAATTTGGCATGCCAAGGGAATAAAGTAATTAAAAGCAGCAAAATACCATCAGAATGACTCATACTTTTGTGCTTTTCTACAAAAGCATTTTGCTAGAATTAATAAAGTTCATTTGTGCTATTGCCTTTTCCCTGCTAAAGAGGTCCGGAAGTCTTTTAAATCAACAAATCTCGATCTTGTCTCTGGTATAAAACTATAAATTGATCAAGTTAGATCCCAACCAAAGTGGACAAGAATAATCTAATTACATAAGTTTATTCCGTTTAACAGCTTATTTAGATGGTTGTTCCCCGTTGTATCGTATTGTATTGTTAACCCAAAACAATGTTTGTTTTGGTTGTTTCATTAAAATTGGTTATATTATTATTAAATCTATTGTTCCGGAACAATGAAAAGTCCCTTATTTTCAAATAACCGATTTGGTGTGGTGGGATTGTTTCCTATTTTTCTTTCCAATTATACTCTAACTTATTACTCCACAATTCTATTTTACCCTTTACCTTTTTTTCTATTTTAACTCCAAACTCCAACCTATAACCTACTTTGTTTTTTTCCAGAACTTCTGGTGCCAACGTTAAGGTTTTGCCGCCTTGTGTTTTATTTTTTCTCGTAATTTGCCTTTAACTCGATTCTAATTAACTTTGCTCCTTTGTTTTGCCTTCTTCTGTCTCGCTCCTTTGTTCTACTTTCTTAAGGTGTTTTTCCTTCTTCTGTTTTTATTTTTTAAAATTAATTTTATGCATAATTTTAGATAAATTTACATTTAAACAATTGAGGTATTTTAGTAAATTTATCAGTTATAATATAGTACGATACAGTCAAACCAAGCAGCAAAATATTATTTAACAATAACAAACAATACAATCTATCCAAAACATCGTATTCATAAAACGATACGATACAGTACAATACAAATACATTATAAAACGATGGGGAACAATGATCCAAACAGAGTGGAAGTTTCAGCCGGAGGGGAGTTAGGTTGGCAAAAGGGGTATATCATCGAAAATTATATTATCGTCGAAAATTATATATATATATATATATATGTGTGTGTGTGTGTGTGTGTGTTGAACCCCTTAATTTATTAGCATGTTTGCTTTTTTAATTTTTTTAATGTCCTTGACGAAAATCTTCTGCCGCTGATACTTTCAGCTTATAACGTAAATGGAGTGCTTAAGTTTAAAAGTAACCAATTGTTTGTTTTGAATTTTGATTCTGTAACATAGTTTTTATGCACCCTTCAAATTTAGAATTGTGAAATTCTAGAAGCCGCTACTAAGTAGGCGTTTGGACATAAGAATTATAATTTTTTTTTTAAAAAAAAAAGTAGTATTTGAAGTTAAGTTGAAAAATGATATTTGGAATTTGAAGTTAAGTTGAAAAATGATATTTGGAATTTGAAATTATGTTTGGATATGCATTTTACTTGAAAAAATGTTGCAGTTTTGTGCGTGTGGGAACAAAAATTTATGAAAAACTCATTATCGGAATTTTTTAAAAAACTTGTAAAATTTTATGAACAAACATGTTTTCGAAAATAAAAATTCGTAAAAAAAGAAAAAATATTTATGGACAAACAGGTCCTAATTATCGGACTAAACAGTCCAATGGAAAAGCCGATGTCTTTATCAACTTCGTAACGAATACGACACGAATTTTACGTGGAGTATTTCAATCATATCATTAAACAAAATACACAAGATTGACAATCCATATTCCAATTATCTAAACAGAAAAATAATTCATGCATATACTATATAGAAATAGAATTTAGGTAGAAGGCGTGATCGTGAAGAATCTAGCATACCACAGGTGCAATTATTAATGATTATAACTGAAGACGACCTTGTCAATTGGGTTATTATATTTAATTTGATTCCCACAGCACCAAGAATAATTTGTTAAGAATGTTTTTTAAATCTGTATTTGTTAAATTCATTTAAGGAGTAGGGTAGGTATTCAACCCTCATAGGGTGGTCGTTGGTTGCTGTTATATACCACCTAACTGATTACATATATATAAAGTCATTGTGTTGGGTGCAAGCCTGCAAGAATTTGGAGGTTGGAGAAAATAAAGAAAGATAAGTAGTGATACCAAACCTAAAAGAATAATTTACCAAAAAATGGGGTGGGAGATTTCTGTTATTCGGTATTTATACTGGTGAAAAATATTATGTATTTATGTATGCGCATAAGTTTTATGAAATATGAATCGCTATTGTCAATTTGTACTGAATTGATCGAACTACAACTTAATTATAACATGCAAAAAACAATTCAACTTTCAAACTTTTGATTTCATAGAAGAAGGGAGAAGGAAGTAGAATGAGCTAAAGGCTCTTGTTTTTCTGTTAAGCACAGTAATAACCGACTTAGTCATTTTATAGACTAAGTTAGTTATTACTCCAACTAACACCCTCAAGTCTTACTATTTCCACATTAGTCCTAATAACTAATTAACCTCTAATTTGGTAACTTCACATATATTATTTCTCTTTAGTGATGGACAATGATCATGAATTGATGAGAAATCTTAAATTTGTAATTTTTACCCTTTTTCTAAATATTCTAACAATATGCATTCATAATAATAGTTGGAGTGATTCTAATTTAAGTAGGTCGTCGTTTAATTTTCTTTTAACTCTCTTTAAGTATGTTTAAAATATTATAAGAACTCAAGCGATTGAATATGAAATGTGAGCTGCCGCTAGAAGAAATCAAAGACAACTAGTTTATTTCTAATAGGTGGTGATATTTGGCTTAAGTATGTGTATTTATATGCATGTCGCCTCGTATTTTACTCGTATTTTGTGGCATTTGGATGTGTAATATAATAATTTATTCTAATTTGTAGCATTTTTATGTGTAGGAGACACCCGGAGGCAATATGGGACGAAAGTGCACGATTTGAAGTAAAAAGGGAACAAAACGAAAAATGGGCCAGTGTAGCGCCCTGGGTAGCGTGGGGCACTACCCGTGGTACAGTTTACAGATGCAAAAATTTTCCAGCGCCCCACGCTACCCTGGGCACCGGGTGACGGGAAGTCTCCTATTTCGCGCCGGACAAGGTTATTTCAGCCCTACACACCCCCAACTTGTATAAAAGGGGTCCTAAACCTATTTTGGAGGGAGGTGGAACGTTTTTTAGAGGAACTTTTGACCCAGGGGCTAAACTTCTCGTTCTAGGGTTGTGGTTCTTTCATGACTATTGTTATTTGGATATTGATTTTGGTTTCTTGATTATCATATTAGTTTATTTATTAAATCATGAACTTAATTATTTGATTGCTTGAGCACCAATTGAATACTATCTACGAATCTAGAGTTGGACTCGAAAGTGGGAACTCTAGATTGCATATAGGATTGAGTAGAGCAAGTTCTTGAACCTGGGCATTGGAAAATGGATTCGCGGTTAGGATAGACATACCTAATTGCCTTGCTTGGTTGATGTACAGGAATTATAAATACGTTCTTCTTAGTTCTAATTCCATAGACATATAGGTGTTAGGTTA